TCCTTCCTTCCTTCCTTCCTTCCTTCCTTCCTTCCTTCCTTTCTTTCTTTCTTTCTTTCTTTCTTTCTTTCTTTCTTTCTTTTTTACATTAAGGTATAGCTGCCCTAGCTGGTTGGGCTCAGTGGATAGAGCCTCAGCCTGTAGACTGAAGGGTCCTGGGTTCGATTCCCAGTCAAGGGCACATGCCTGGGTTGTGGGCTCCATCCCCAACCAGTAGGGGGCATGCAAGAGGCGGCCGATCCGTGATTCTCTCTCATCGTCAATATTTTTCTCTTTCTCCTCTCTCTCTCCCTTCCTCGCTGTTTTCAAAACAAGAATATAATCTATAATAATAAAAGCATATCATGCTAATTAGACCGGACGTCCTTCCGGACAACCTTCTGGACAAAACCGGGGCTGCAAGGGTTGAGGGAAGCCACAACGGCCAGACCCCAGCAGCAAGCTCACCTACCGTTTGGAGTGTCTGCCCCCTGGTGGTCAGCGCACGTCATAGCGAGCATTTGAGCGGCCTTAGCATATCATTAGCATATTACGCTTTGATTGGTTGAACTGGACACTTAGCATATTAGGCTTTTATTCTATAGGATATTTAAAATATATTTTTATTGATTTCAGAGAGGAAGGGAGAAGGAGAGAGAGACAGAGAAACATCGATGATGAGAGAGAATCATGCATCGGCCTCCTCCTGCACGCCCCCTACAGGGGATGGAGCCCACAACCCGGGCATGTGCCCTGACCGGGAATCGAACCCTGACCTCCTGGTTCCTAGGTAGATGCTCACCACTGAGCCACGCCGGCCAGGGTGTTGCTCACCCACTTCAACAGACCAGCCTTTTTAGAGTAACGTATGCCCCACAATTCTTACTTCTGCTAAATCCATCAATTGTTTGATATATACACGCAGATTACTTTTAGGGGTAAAAGCGACTATTTAGAACGAGTTGTGGGCTCGATCCCCAGTAGGGGGCGTGCAGGAGGCGGCCGGTCCATGATTCTCTCTCATCATGGATGTTTCTCTCTCCCTCTCCCTCTCCCTTCCTCTCTGACATCCATAAAAACATATTTTAAATATCCTATATAATAAAAGTCTAATATGCTAAGTGTCCTGTCATCTGGTTGGGCATTCAACCAATCCAAGTCTAATATGCTAATGATATGCTAAGGCTGCTCAACTGCTCGCTATGACGTGCACTGACCACCAGGGGGCAGACAGTCGACCGGTCGCTATGACGTGCACTGACCACCATCAATAAAAATATCTTTTAAATATATTTAAAAATATATTTAGAAATGTCTTTTCTCTGTGAGAAATCACAACACATTCCTATGTTTCCTAAAACTTCAAAATAATCCACACACCTCACAGTCTAGTTTCCTTAAAAAAATTTTTTTTTAAATTGTTTTCTTCCTTTCCAAGCCTGATTTGCTTTTTGCTTATTTCTAACATGGATTCTCTTTCTTTCAGGTGATTTCGACTTAGCGGATGCGTTTGATGGTGAGTAATATTAACAGCATTTTATTTTAATTTTATTTTTTTTTGACCATTGTGCTAGTATACTTTTTACTACGTGGAGGTAGAATAATACATTTGCATTTTTTTTAATTTTATTTTTATTGATTTCAGAGAGGTAGGGAGAGGGAGAGAGAGAGATAGAAACATCCATGAGGAGAGAGAATCATGGATCGGCTGCCTCCTGCACGCCCCCTACTGGGGATGGAGCCCACAACCTGGGCCTGTGCCCTTGACCGG